TCCCTGGCGGCCCAGCTGTTCTGTCCCAGGCTCGAGATTCAGCCGCTGTTGAAACTGATCAGTGGCTGATTCCAGGATGCTGGGGGCAGAGCAATTCCGCCTCCAGCTTCCTGTAGTCAGCCCCTGGTCAGTTTCAGCAGCAGCAGCTGAATCTTGAGCCAGTTCCGACTTACATACAAATTCAACTTAAAAACAAACCTATAGTCCCTATCTTGTACGTAACCCGGGGACTGCCTGTATTCCCTTTTGGTTAGCTCTAAGTGAATTCTTGGGCACTGAAAACATATTATGCTTACAGTCGCATAATAATAGTGTATTTATTGAGGATTAGAGTGTTTTATCCTATGAGAACTGGGAGATGCACAACTATAATTACATTTAAAAAACTGTTTAAAAAGAACTTTGATGTTGTAATGTAAATTAAGGCACTCAAGTTAGTCAATGTCAGAATTAAGTCTGGCTGTGAAATCTGTCGCATTCTTGAATGTATAAATAATGATACAGGTTGGACATCCTTGGCCTGGCACCCTTGGCAAGTTACTGGTCCCAAACAAGGGATTTTGCCAGATCAGGGGAGGTCCTTTCTGCCCCCCCCCCCCCCAGCATCCCAGCCCACCTCCTCCTGGCCCAGTTGCCTGCCTCCCTGCCATCTCTCCCATGCTATGGGCCCTGCTGGGTCCCATTGCTCCCATCCCACTGCAATGCTGGGCTCCCAGACCCATAGCAGCAGCCTGCGGCTCTGCCACAGGGGTTTGAGTTCTGGCCCCACCAGGCCGGGGCTCCCAGCCCCAGCCAATGGCCCCGCCACTGGGGCTCCTGGCCCCACCAGAGCAGACTGCAGTCCTGTTGGTGCTCTGACCACCCTGCTGCCAGCTCAGCCAAACTCCCACAGCAGGGCTCCTGGCCATCCAACCCCCCTGCAGCCAACCCGGTTTGGCTCCTGGCCCCCGCAGGGTTCCTGCCTCTGCACCTCACTCTATGTTGCCAGACCAGAGAGTTCCAGTTTAGAGAGGTTCCATCTTATAATCTTTTACTACATATTATGTTTTCTTCAGTTCTCAAGATGAATGGTACTCGAAAACCATTTATTTTTATCTTCATTATTCAACATGTGGCCCTGATGACCTCCTTCACCTATTAAATTCCTCACTGATTTTTCTC